AAACACACACAGAAACAGATAGACAGAGAGACAAAGAGAGAGGCAGATGTGGCAAAATATTAATGACTGGAGAATCAGGATGAAAGTATATGGGAAATCTTCATATTATTCTTGAAACTTTTTCTGTAGGTTTGAAATCATTTTGAAATAAAATGAAAAACAACAAAAGGGAACAAAACAAAGGCAAAATGCATGCTGCTTTTACTACCACATTCTTTATTCTCCTTTTGCCACAAATCCTTTAATCAGTAGGGGAGAAAAGACGTATATTAAGAGCTAGAAAAGAAGCAAGGAGTTAGTAAAGGAAAGACAAAAGCATATTTTTAAAAATCTTGGTTGAGTAAGGTTTCAACAATTTAGTGCCAAAATTAACATTGAGCTTCCTGTAACCCTAGGCAAGGAGAGAAACATAATGGGTATCTATCTTTTGGCATCTAGTAGAAGAAAGTATAGACAGATACACATGTTATCCTGGATTCCACTTCTGAGATGAATTTGTCACAAAGGATACTGAGGAATACATTGGAAGATGTTCTCAGCAGCACTTTAACCAAGAGTCCAAAAGATATTCTGCAAATATCTGTTTTTTTTGTATATAGCCTTAGTCTGAATGAACACTGAAAAATTAGTGCTAAATCATAATTCCACAAAGACAATCTTTAGGGACCTCAAAGAATATGGTCCATGGATACCACTCTTTGCTGATCTGGCTTCACCTAGGGATAAAACTGTGGAGAATTTTAAGGTTTGAATAGTCAGCATGTTTTTAATCCAGTATTTACTTGAGATGGTAATGCTTTTGTTTTGTTTTTACATACAATGAGATGCGTACTGTTTCTTAATGTTTAGTATGAGAAAATTTGCTAATTGCTTTATAGTTATATAAATATATGGTTATTTTGCAAAAGATTATGAGATTCATTGAGCTATACTTGTAAATAGCAAGGAGTCATATGAAAAACAATATAGCATGGAAATTTATGGCTTTGGGGTCCCTGGGGGTAGGGAGTGGTCAGTGACGTCTTCCCAGAGGAGATGACATTTGAGCTGATAACGATTAAATAATTCAAAAAAAAAAAGAAAGAAAGAAAAGAAACCACCACCAAGAGTAGTAAGTTTTACTCTGGAGGTGGGCTCAAGGAACAAAGATAGCTCAAAAGATTAAGTGATCAACTCTGAGTCACACTCAAGGAGACATTTGAAATAAATATTAAAGGACTAGTTTTCCCAGGAAGTAAGGGAGAGAGGTATTCTGAGGAGAGGAAACTGCATCTCCAATGACACAGAAGCATGAAACATGAAAAGCAAATGCACAATAGGTAATTTTAAGTTGCTTTTGTGTGGCGTGAGCCTGCCCATGTAGGAAAGTGGTCAAAAAACAAGCTAGAGGTCAACAGAGGCAGATAATGAAGGACTGCATATAAAATTCCATGGAGTTTGAGTTTTGTTCTGGGAAGCACGAGGCCTGTATTTTAGTAAAGCACTACTTTGTGACTGATTGGGAAGAGTGATTGGAGAAGTGTGAGGCTGGAATCAAGGAAGCATAGTGAAAAGGCTGCTGTGATCATCCAGCAAAGAGATGACGAACTAGCACTGAGGAGCTAGTGAGAGTGAGATGGAGTAAGAGGAGAAGGTGGGATTGAAAGATATTTAGGCAACAAAATCAATTGATTTTGGTAACTGTGTGACAACTCTGCAAGTGCTAAGAACTATGGGAGGAAGAAATACATCTGTCCTGGGGTCAAAATATCCCAACAATTTACAAAGTGCCTGACTCATGATAGGAGCCCAAATGACCCATTGTTAAATAAACAAACATTTCTAGCTTGAACGACTGAGAAAATAGCGATGTCGCAGCCAGATATTCAACTAATGACACAGAATTGAAGACACTAGCTGATATGCATAGGGTTTCTCTAGGATTAGAATATGTTTCTCTAATTATCATAATGATGGAACATTTACTGAGCACTTACAGTGTACTAGGCACTTGATTAAGCACTGTACTTATGGTATTGCAATTAGCAGTTATGAGTTATGACCATAATAGTCTTAGAGGAATTCTTCTATGGGGAATGAATGATTGCTATAATCGCCATTTTAGAAACAAAGAAACTCAGGCTCGGAAAGATTGGAAAATCAACCAGTGTCACAAAGTTAGTGAGTAGCAGAGCCAGGTGTTGGACACAGATCAGTGTGATTCAAAGCCTATATTCGTTTTCAAAATTTTTTATTTTACTTTACCTTCTGGGATACATGTGCAGAACATGCAGGTTTTTTACATAGGTATACATGTAGCATGGTGGTTTGCTGTAGCTATTAACCTGTCATCTAGGTATTAAGCCCCGCATGCATTAGATATCTGTCCTAATTCGAAGCCTATATTCTTAATCAGGATGCATGGAGATTGAGAGAGAGCAAATTGCTCAAGGTCACATAGTGAGCAAGAGTTTCACAGGGGCTGGAGCCATCTTTTTCTCTTATGCCACGTGTTTTGACTGAGCAGGCTGGTTAAATTCTGATGTCTTACTATAGGACTCAGACTATAGATATGTACCAGCTGTTATAGAGAACATGCAAAACGGCACTATTTACTGGGTAGACATCAGTAAGTCCTCTACTTCCTTTTAGTCTCCAGCCAACAAACAGCTTACTGCAGTGACTTTACTACTGAAGATGGAAAGCTGTTAAAAGAATAAACTGGGCTTGCATTGGGAGTACTAGAACACAAGAAGTGATATTTTCTTATTATAATCTAGGGACAATCAAAGGACTTAGGAGCTCTAAATTATATTAGTAAACAAGAATGTTCACAGAATATTGGCATTTTTTACGCTCCTGGCAAACTACTGAGATACTAAAAATGCATGTTGGAGTTCATAAACTTTCATAATTGCACATGGACACCAAGTTTCTATCTCAATGGAGAAGAAGATTGTTAGAGAGCTATGGCTCGAGAGATTCTGGGAAAATCTTCTTTCAAGTATCTGCCATTGTCAAGCAACACAGAGGTGCACTGATAAAAGAAATTTAAGGATGATAACACTTCAGGGGTGACATTATCTAGGATCTAGTTTTACCTATGACTGTCCTTCCTGCCTCCTCTTGAGGGCTTCAGTTTTAAACTCCTTTTTGGGGAGTCCCATTATTTGCTGGGTAGTGCTACCTGGCAGAACCAAGTTTCTTCATGGTCAGGGTCTGTTAAACAGTAACTTTAGTTCTGTCCTAACAGCATACCCTTGTTCCATAAAAATGATACCTCATATATTGGAGGACAGTTCTTTATTCCACTATGTGCTTTCTCTACAAGGTTTTGGAATGAAGAGCTGTAGTCACCAATATGATAAGAATGCAGATAAAACCAGTCTTTATTTACTGACCACATCAGACAGAGTTCTAGGTGGCTTTTATGGCTGGTATTTTATTTAATCCTAACTAGGACACAGAAACAGAAGTGATAATTATTTCTATATTATAGATGAGGGTAGTAGATCTCAGCCAGGTGTTAAAATTTTACCTGGCTACTCAATGAGTTAATGATGGTTCTAGAATTTGAATTCAAATGGGTCTCATTCCAGAGATTAAGTTTTTTCTGATATACCAAGCAGTCTCTCAAGTTTTACCTTCTTGGGCTTTTTAAAAAGATGTTCATTTCTTCCTTCACACACATTGCTTCTAAATAGTTATATATGTAGAAAAGGAAGTTTGGTTATGGAGAAACATGTTTATATCATGCTTATTTTGAGTCATTTTCTAGGAAAACTTGTAATTAGATGAAAAACTAACGAGTAAACTTTTAAGAACATTATTTTGTGATGAAGTTAAGAAACTTAAAAATAATATGGCCAGGTCAGGTTAAAACTACCCCTTTAGTTCTTTGTGAATGGAAGTAGAGCTTAGATAGTTTTTTGAACGTCTGTGAGCCCTTGATGGGGATTTGATTCCAAGTGTTCTAGGAGATTGACACGATCTGACTTGTCTTTTTTATATATTTGTCATTCCATTAAGTGGACAACAAACTAAAGGACTCATGTAGAGGCAGGGAAACAAGTAACGAGGCTGGTGAGGCTACGTTGGTGATAGGGGAAGTGAAACAGAGCGAGGGACTGGAGTGATGGACTGGGGGAAGTGAAACTGGGTGATAGACTAGAGTGATGGACAAAGGAGAAATGGACAAAAGAAAGGCTCATGAGGGGAGGTGGACTAGGGTGATAGTCTGGGGGAGGTAGACTGGGGAAAATGAAACAGGGTGAGGGACTAGAGTGATGAATGAAGTGGAAATGGACTAAAGAAAGGTAGGCTGGGAGAGACGGGCTGGGATGATAGATTTGGGTGATAGACGATGGTGAAACTGACTAAAGAGAGTGGACCAGAAAGAGGTGGACTAGGAGATGGTGGACTAGGGAGAGGAGTGGACTAGAAGGAGTAGATGAGGGTAATGAATGTGGGTGATGGAGTAAGGGGAGATGCAGTGGGGTAGTGGAGGGGGAAATAATGAGTGGTACTGGGATTTGGGATACATTTTTTATTTTTTATTTTTTAAAATTATTTTATTTATTTATTTTTTTGAGACAGAGTCTCGCTCTGTCACCCAGGCTGGAGTGCAGTGGCAAGATCTCGGCTCACTGCAAGCTCTGCCTCCCAGGTTCACACCATTCTCCTGCCTCAGCCTCCTGAGTAGGCAGTAGTCTCAGCCTCAGACTACAGGTGCCCGCCACCATGCCCGCTAATTTTTTGTATTTTTAGTTGAGACAGGGTTTCACCGTGTTAGCCATGATGGTCTCGATCTTCTGACCTCGTGATCCACCTGCCTCGGCCTCCCAAAGTGCTGGGATTACAGGTGTGAGCCACTGTGCCCAGCCTGGGATACACTTTTTAAATGAAGGTGGCAAAAATTGCCAAATGATTGGCTGTGGGCTTGTGTGGCACTGATTCCACTTCTAAAAATTTATTCTAAGTTGATAATCATGAATCTCCTTCAAGACATAGGAATGTTTATGGTTTAAAATAGCACAATGTTAGAAATGTTTTAATTAAAAAATTAGAAGCTAGTTAAGTATGTTGTGGAAAATTCTGGAATGATACAATCCAAAATTGAGCAGATGTCTTGTCTGGATAGTGAGTTTTTCTGCAGCTAGCTTGCTTCCTTCCTTCCTTCCTTCCTTCCTTCCTTCCTTCCTTCCTACCTACCTTCCTTCCTTTCTTCCTTCCTCCTTCTTTCTCTTTCTCTCTTTTGATCTTTCCTTTTTTGTTGATCTGAAATTTTAAAAATGTTTAAAATGAGACTGTTTTATTCTGTTAAAAAAAATCAGTTATGTTTGAAAAGTAAACCTATCCTTATTTGACTGCACTTCTGCACAGCAGGATCAACCAATTTTCCATTTAAAATGTTATCCCCAAAACACAGTTCAGTTGGCCATCGTGTGTAGGACTTCACAAATACTCCTGATTTACTATATAGTAATATGAGCCCAAACTGTGGCTAACACTGGGATTCATACATGTTTGAAAACTGTCTGGGTGCCTGTTTATTTATATGTGTAGTTTTGCACTAGTTGGAGGTGATGGAATGGAGAAGGTTTTACAGAAGGAAGAAAGTGGAATGGTGAGAACAACCGCATGCCTATGATACGTCTGGCATGACCCAGAGACTGAGGTTATAGGTAATTACACAGGGTCTCTGTGGGGTACAGAAGTACAAAGATGGCATCTTTGGTATTCAGGAAGAGAAACATGGCACTGAATGGATGCAAATAAACTCCTGCTCACTGTTGGGGAGCATGCAGTCAAACTTTGGCATTTTGAGAGTGCCTGGAAATGCAGAACATCTAGAAATACCATTTCTGGGAGCATCCTGACAAGGTAATGTCTTTGGAAGTCCTGAGGCTTCCTCTCCAAATGGATTCATGATCTAACATGAAAGAGGGGGAATGGGGAAGTAAATGTAAATGTAAAACATAGTGAATATCATAAAGTACCTGGAGTGAATGGGCTTCATGTGAACCTATGTATGGCATCTATAGTCTTCAAAGAGTTAACAAATTGAGGTTTGGAGTTAAAATCCTTTGTTATGCAAAAGAAAATATAGATTATCACCTTTAATGTAACCCTATTTATATACAAAGGGTAGTATAATGTGGTGGGGTTGAGGCTACAATAGAATATAGAGTCTTAGTTCTCAAATCCTAGAGATGAGAAGACACTGGAAGTTCTCTAATGCCTTCAGTCAATTCCAGTCACCCAAATAGATGGTTCTTAGTTTCTGAATGGCTCCTTTGATGTTACCTACTAACTCCCTTTTTGGTGTATCAGATAGTCTAATTTCTCTCTTCTCCCAATAAAGTTTCTTGAAACATGGACAGGGAGGGGTTGTCATGGCTGAGAGGATGAGTTGGGGCTCAAACCCAATCCGTGCTGTATTCACCAAACTATGTGCACAGGCTTGGTGAAATGATGGCTTTATTATTATTATTATTATTATTTTTATTTTTATCTGAGGAAGGAATGTAAACAACTAATATTCAACAAAAGGTGCCTTCTTCTTTTTTTAAAAAATTATTCATTCAAAGTCATCACACATGCTCAAGGGCAATGTATAACATGGGCCAGATCTGTTAACTCTGGCCACAATAAAGGCTCATGATGTTCAGTGGGAATTCCCACAATTCTATACTCCCTAGGCTGAAAGGACCCACATTCAGCAAACAAACTGAAATTATCAGCAAGCTCTCTCAACCAGGACCTATGCTACACATGCTTTGTTTAGCATCTCATTCAATCCATACAACACCCCTCAAGAGCAAATTCTATTCTACTTTTATAACTTAGAACGCTGGAGCTCATAAAACTGGAGTTCTTATACCTAGAAGGCAACAGAATCAGGTCACCAACTTGTATTCATTCCATAAGACTTTTTGAATTTGCTACCGATAGTTCTTTCAGTCTTTATAATCATTGGCTTCTTCTGTTGGATTTTTCTTTGGTTACTTCACTGGGGTCCAATCTCTGTTTACTGATTCTTCGTCAATTAAGTAGAATGTTACCACTCATCTCTGTCTGATTTGGGTACACAATATGCTGCCAAACATTTTCAGCTCTAACAGTACTAGAAAAGATGTTATCTCTGAATCACAGCCATCTTTCTCACTGTATCGAATTCATCCTTGTGGCATCTGGCTCTGGCTCCAGCTTTAAGTTTTTGACTCTTCGCTCAATCTCTTCACATATTCTTTTTTTTTTTTGTGACAGAGTCTCACTTTTTCACCCAGACTGGAGTTCAGTGGTGTGATCTCAGCTCACTGCAACCTCCACCTCCTGGGTTTAAGTGATTCTCCTGTCTCAGCCTCCAGAGTAGCTGGGATCACAGGCACTTGCCACCACGCTTGGGTAATTTTTGTATTTTTAGTAGAGACAGCAAGGCTTCACCATGTTGGCCAGGCTGGTCTTGAACTCCTGACCTCAGGTGATCTGCCCACCTTAGCCTCCCAAATTGCTGGGATTACAGGCATAAGCCACCGTGGCCACCCTCTTCACATATTCTAAGATATTTTATCAATTGACCAACATAATTTAAAAAAAAAAACATTTTATTTAATAATTCTATTTCTTTAAAAACTCTCTTTTATTCCCTCTATTAAGACATGATCTTAGATCGAACCAATATTAATTTACAGTCTCATTTCTTTCCAGAAGTGGAATCCTAAAAGCATTTTTATTCTATATCTCTTTGGCAGACATTCACACAAACCATTCCACATGACTACATAGAAATTTTGCTTGTTTCTCTCTCTACAGCTGGTCTCCAATTGTTTCATGTGCATTTGTTTTCTTCCCCTGACTTGACTATAAACTCCTTGATAGCAATGTTGTGTACATAGAAGTTATGTCATACATGTGAGTTACTTGATCTAATTCTTTATTTACTCAATGCTCCTAGCTCATGCTTTGCCCTCCCTCTTCCTGGTCACCTGGTTAAATAGGCTCTTGATAAATACTTACTGAATGAAATAATGAACCAGCACCAACTAAATATAAGGTGCTATTGTAATAATTGGCTGGGTCAGTCAGATACTTGGATACCATGTGGAATTCTGTGGTAGCACTGGAATCCCACTGGATATATGGAGGTCTGGCAGAGAGCAAACTGTGGTTGAATTTGGGCACAAGAGGGTGAGGGTGGAAGTGGGAAAAATTGAGCAGGAGTCATTATGTCTGGGGATGAAATGGAAGGTCTGAACAGGAAAAATAGCAGCTGAATAGCAGACTGGCTGTTAGGATTGAAAAATCAGGTGTGAAAATCAACTACAATACTAACAATAATGATAATATTAATGAAGTTACAATATTAAAAGTAGACTGTCCCATGCTTTGTTGTTAATTTAACATTGTCTGAGTATTTTCTTACTAAGAAATACCAATTTCTTAGTATTTTCTGAGATTTACAAATCTTCATTGCAGATATGAAACCTAAAATTCATTTTGGAAAAGAACAAAATGGATCATAAAGTAGATGAAATTCTAATTAATGACATTCACACTGGAGAATTGGGTGAAACACAGTGATGCCTTCCAATTTAGTTTTAAATATATCACAAATAAGATGGATTGATGGAGAGTGATGGGGAAGATCTAGGGAGAGATATGTGATAAGACATATTAATAGCAAAATGTTAGTTATAGAATCTGAGTGGTAGGTATATGTATGTTTACTATAAAAATACTTAAACTATATCATTTATTTGAAATTTTTTATAATAAAATCCTGAGAAAAAGTAAAGAGAAATTGATTGAGATCTCTTAAAAATAACCATATTGGAGCTTACAATGATCAGATGAAAATACTAGTTTTTTGGGTAAAATTTTCCAGCATAGTAATAAATCTTCATATTTGTGCAAGGTTTTATTGTCCACCAAGTACAAAGTGTGATGATTGAGGGAAAAGACTCTGGAGCCAGACTAGCTGATTTCTGATTGCTATCTATGAATAAATCATTTAACTTCTTGGTCTCGTAATTCCTTTGTTAGTTGAATCTGTGTAATAATTCTCCTAGGGTAGTTGTGAAGAGTAAATAAATCAGTAAATGTAAAATGCTTAGAAAGTGCTAAGAAGCAAATAAGCTCTATATTAATGCCATCTATTATAATTGTAATAATAATAATTATGCCTTCCCATTGGTTCTTAGGGCAGAAATGGTTACTCTGCTTTTCAGCTGAAGTAACTGAGGTCTAGAGAAATATCTCTTGCCCGAAGCCATATGAATTGGTTTTAGGTGATGCTGGGTCTAAAGTCAAGTCTTCTTTGCCTCTTTCAAAATACGCTTCTCCTTGTATTCCAACTCCCATTGCAATGCCCAACCAAATTCAGGGCAAAGAAATGCTAAGTGGCTGGTTGGGTTCCTGGCACATGGTAGGCACTTAAAAAGTAGGTGAATGATAAAAGTTCATTTAAAGCACTTACTGTGTCTGTTACCCTGCTAAGCACTATACATTATCTCAAAGAATCCTTGTAAAACCTCTAAGAGTTTAGTTTTACTGCCCTGACTTTCCAGATGAGAGCAGACGCTTTAGAAAGGGTATGTTGCCCAAGATCCCACAGCTAGCAAGTCTGAACCACAGATCCATCTGGTTCCAAAGCCCATGCATTTTTAACAACCCTGCAACGCTTTCATGAATGAAGGGAGGCTGCTTCAAAGCTTAGCCGAATGGTAGAAATTAGGGGACATGAACCATTTTACCCTTAATCCACAGTGCTTTCCCCTGAGTCCTTCTCATCATAGATGCATTGTATTACTAGCAAATGTGAATGTTTTGATGAATTAGGCAAAACACTCCAACTGCCTGTACATTGCAACATCTTCCCTTCAAAGGCCAGGGAATGTAGACTGTACGTTCTTTGTCCAGCATGTCTGAATGCGTCAACGCTGTCTGGGAGGCACAGAGGTGGATGCTTTCCTAGCAGGGGTGAGGCCCCTCCTGAATGTCCAGCTCCTGTATTTGTAACATTGCCATGTGCAGCCACTGGGCCAAGGAATGAAGGGGCCTATGGTCCCAGCCTCCTCAGATTACGCAAGCCAAGAAAAATGTGCAAATCGCATGAGAAAAGCAGGCAGTCCCCAAACATCTTTATTTGTTCATTTCTGTCCCCTGATGCTTTGATTGCAGCCTTGCACTTAGAAATTTCAAGATAAGTATCAGCAGCTGGACACTGGGTAAATCAGAGGCACAGACTCCGTGTAAATACTGAAGTTTCGAAAGCACAAACTTATGTCCAACAGCTTGGAGCACAAGACCCAGTGGAAAGGGGGGGAGTGGTGTTCTGGCTTTGGCAGAGTCAACCTTCTGAGAAACTCATGGACATGTCTGTACATGCCTGAACTTGTCTGACAAAGCCAAACAGAGATTTCAGGATCTGCCAGATTCAGACACAAGCGGCCTGCTTGCTCGGAACCAAAATGGAACAGTCAGAGGAAGTTCAGGATTAGAAAGGAGAAACAAAAGATTACAGTCTGAAATCTATTAACAGCAGAGGTTACATGGTGAATGACCATGCTGATGACAAATAACCTGAGCTGTCATCTATCAAATGACTATCACTGGCAAGATCCCATATTAGGCTTTTTGTGTCCATTTACAGAGTTAATTCTCCTAACAATCCTCAAGTTCTGATGGACTTTACCAGATTGTACAAGTTAAAAAAAAAAAGAATAAAAAAGGAAAGAAAGAAAGTGAGATGGAATGATAAAACCACTATCTCAAAGTCAGGAACTAGCCAGTAAGAGGAAACAGGTTAGCAACACATGCTTGTCAGAGCCAAGGAACAATTTGTATCTTAAACTGCCCTCATGATCAATGAACATGAATTTAGACAAATGATAATTCCAGAACCCAAATCTGCCTCCCCGCAGTTAGAATAAATAATAACCATTGTGTGCCATTTTACAGTTCTCAAAGGGGTTATGTAATCTACAAATACTGGATGTAGAAAAGAGAAAAGTGTCTAATCGGGTTTTGCTTCTAGGACAATAACAGTTCATATACTAGTTGCAAATTTTAGCTAGTAAACACATCATTTTTTTTCTTCCTGACAAAAGGGGGATTTTGTCTGAGAAGAGGAATAAAATGAGAGAGAGACAGCAACTCTCTATTCAGAGACTAAATTAATGGGTAAGGCTGATCTTTTGGCATAATATGAGCTGTGAGGAGAGATTTTGCTGATGAGATCTGTCAAGAACGTAACAAGAAGATAGACTGGAAGAGTCTAGACCACACTGGGTATGACAGCAGCCTCATCAGCTCAGCTAAGAGTAGATATATTAGTGAGAAAAATTAGAATAATGGGTAAAGCAAGATAACTAACGCTGTAGTTATGCTCTGAAGCTTATTTTGTTATTTAGGATTTTTGGTTGCAAGTGACAGAATCCAACTCAAGGCAGCATAAGCAAAAATATGTGAGATCTAATATAAGCACACGGAGATTTCTCTCGGGACCGCAAATACTAAAGATAAAGTAAAATATGAAAATGAAAATTCAAGGTGGCTGGCAGAGTATAAAAACATGATCCCGGAGAGCATGACAAAATCCAAATCTTGAAGTTCTTTGTAGATTTCATTAAAGCACTTTAATTCCTTTCTAAATGTAGCAAGTGGCCAAGAAATGGGAAACAACATTATCAAAATGCAGGAAAATGGTATTATCAGATACAATACCACTTGAGCTGCTATACGGGATAAAGGCAGTATGAAGGGTTGCTGTTGGTTGATTTTTTTTGACTATGTATATAGTAGTGCTGTTAATTATGATCAGGAACATCAAAATGCAGATATGGGGTTGGAGGAAAACGTTAATGATGCATTTAGTTTTGAACAGATTGGATTTAAGATGCCTATGAGTCTTTCAAGAGTTATCTACAGACACTTAGATAAAAGAGTGTGGCGTTCAGGAGAAGCACATGTGCTGGAGTTACAAATGAGAAATTACCATCACAAAGATGCTAGCAGAAGCCATAGCAGAGAATCAGGATATCCAAGGACTTGATTAAAGGTGAGAGAGCAGGGGACAGCATCGAACATAGAACTCTAACAACCACCACCACCAGTTATGGGTCATATACATTAAGAAGAAAAGCCTTTAAACCTTCCAAGAGTAGCCAGAGAGATAGAGATCATTAGGAGAAGGAACACTTTCTGAAAACTGGAGTAAAGACTTCTGAAAATTTACTTCATAACAGCAAAAAGAACACTAAAAAAATAGACAAACTTTTACAGAGCTGTAAAACTTAAAAGCTTGCAACAATCTGAAGAATTTTATTAAAGAAAAATAGCTGAATTTCTGTAAGAATAGCAAAGAGCTTTGTAGCATTTTAACACACACTCTTCCTATTTCTTTTTTTTTTTCTCTCTTTTTTTTTTTTTTTTTTTTTGAGATGGAATCTAGCTCTGTCGCCCAGGCTGGAGTGCAGTGGCCGGATCTCAGCTCACTGCAAGCCCGGCTAGTTTTTTTTTTTTTTTTTTTTTTTTTTTGTATTTTTTAGTAGAGACGGGGTTTCACCGTGTTAGCCAGGATGGTCTTGATCTCCTGACCTCGTGATCCACCCGTCTCGGCCTCCCAAAGTGCTGCGATTGCAGGCTTGAGCCACCGCGCCCGGCCCCACTATTCCTATTTCTGTTTTCCCGCACAGTAGCAGTGAAAACCAATAGCCTCACAAGCATGGTAATTGTGAAAACCAGCAGTCTTACAGCTACTGGGCGGGGGATAGAAAGTGTTTAGAGATCTCCCAAAAGTCCATTTCCAGAGAACTATCACTATTTGACCTGCCTGACAACTCCCTGGAAAGCCCCATTCATTCAGACTGGCTTTATTTTAACTGACTCAGAGCTCATTCACTGGGGAAATGCTGTATCCCCAGGGTGTTTGTGAAAAGTGAACAGTGTCCTTCATTTAAATTGAAGCTGCCTGAGATAGTGATACCAGTTGTATCAATTAGGGCAAATAAGAGGCTAAGAATCTTAAAAGAAAAAGCTGAAAAATGAAACATTTACCGGGGGCTTTAAAAGACTTCAACATATTCAAGGGCATCTGCAAAACGATGCACATGTGCAGGGCTGTGAGAATGCCCAGGAAAGACTTGAGAAGATCCTAATATCTTATGGTGGCTGACACTGAAAATCTGCATAAGCAGGAACTGAAAGCTAAGGCAGAGTTGAAAACTGGCAGAATGTTGAAACGGTGCCCCAACACATCCACTCAGAGATCCATGGTGAAGTGTGAGAGACCTATGGATTCAAGTCATTCATGGAAATTTTTATCCAATCATTCGCTAACCACTAAGCTTCAGCAGAGACTTCAGCGGCCACACACAACACAGTGCAGACTTTAAATAATAAGTTGAGGAAAGTCACCAAACAAACTTCAAACAGCAGGAACAACAAACAGTAACAATAGAAAGCCCTGGGAAGGGAGGAATCTTATTTCCTGAGTTGCCACATTAGATTATGAAAACGTCCAGTTTTCAACACGAAGCTGTGAAACACACTAAGAAACAGGAAGGTATGGCCCAAACACATAATTATAAACTAAATAATATCATACATGGATTAAAAGAGTTTCCTATATTAAAGAAATAAAATAAAAACACAGAAAGATTCTTCATTGGGAGTATATTCAGGTAACTTAAATTATTAGTTTAAATTCTGCTGTACCTAAGTTTACTAATTAATTTTTAAAACATACATAGTCCACGAGGCTTAGAAATGCAAGACATGTACACTGAAACTACAAGACATTGCTGAAGGAAATTAAAGAAGACCTGAATAAATTGAAATTTAACCACATTTATAGATTGAAAAATTTAATATTGTTAAGATAGCAGTACTTCCCAAATTGAACTATAAAATCAGTGCAGTCCCTATCAAAATCCTAGTGCCTCTTTTTGCAGAAATTGGCAAACTGATTTTAAAACTTATAGGAAACTGCAAGTGACCAAGAAGGACCAAAATGATTTTTAAAAAGAAAAATAAAGTTAAAAATTCACACTTTTTAATTTCATAACTTACAACAAAAGTATGGTATTTAAGAAAATGTACTCACATAAAGATAGGCTATAAACTAATACAGTAGAAATGAAAATTCAGAAATAAATCCTTACAATATAATTGATTTTTGACAAGGTTGCCTGGACAAATCGATATGAAAAGAATAGTCTTATCAGCAAGTGGTGCTGAAACAACTGGCTATCTATCTGGAAAAAAATGAAGGTGGACCCTTCCTCACACTGTACAGAAAAGCTAACATAAAATGGATCATAGACCTAAATATCAGAGATTAAAGTATGAAACTCTTATAAGTAAATATAATAGTAGTAGTATATATTCATGACTTTGAGTTAGGTAAAAGTTTCTTAGATACGATACTGGAAGCAAAAGTGAAGACAGAATAAGTAGGTAAAGTGGATAAGATCAAATTTAAAAAGTTTTTGCCTCAAAGGTAACCACCAAGAAAGTGAAAAAGGCAATCCAGATAATGAAAGTGTTTGCAAACCATGTATTTCATAGGAGACTTGTATCCAGAATATATAAGGAATGATCACAACTCAACAATAAAGATAAATAATGCAATTAAAAAATGGGCATGTATCTGAGTAGACATTCCTCTTCAAGCAAAGATATATAAATGGCCAATAAACCCATGAAAAGATGTTCAACATAATACTACATGAGGAAAATTCAAAACAGAACTACAGTGAGACACTACTTCACACTGACTAGGATGGCTAAAATTTAAAAAGTAACAAGTTTGACAAGGATGAAAATGGTGGAGAAAATGATACCCTCATATATTGGTGGCAGAAATGTTAAATGGTACACCTCCTTTGGAAATAAACTTGACAGTTCTTCAAAATGTTAAACACAGAGTTACCATATGACCTAGCAATTTCAGTCTTAGGTATATAAGAAAAATAAAAATGCACTTTCTTTTTTTGTATTATTATACTTTAAGTTCTAGGGTACATGTGCACAATGTGCAGGTTTGTTACATATGTATACATGTGCCATGTTGGTGTGCTGCACCCATTAACTCATCATTTACATTAGGTATATCTCCTAATGCTATCCCTCCCCACTACCACCTCCCCACAATAGGACCCAGTGTGATGCTCCCCTTCCTGTGTCTGAGTGATCTCACTGTTCAATTCCCACCTGTGAGTGAGAACATGCGGTATTTGGTTTTCTGTTCTTGCAATAGTTTGCTGAGAATGATGGTTTCCAGCTGCATCCATGTCCCTACAAAGGACACGAACTCATCCTTTTTTATGGCTGCATAGTATTCCATGGTGTATATGTGCCACATTTTCTTAATCCAGTCTGTCACTGATGGACATCTGGGTTGATTCCAAGTCTTTGCTATTGTGAATAATGCTGCAATAAACATACGTGTGCATGTGTCTTTATAGCAGCATGACTTATAATCCTTTGGATATATCCCCAGTAATGGGATGGCTGGGTCAAATGGTATTTCTAGTTCCAGATAAAAATGCACTTTCATACAAAAACTTGTACACACATTTCCATAACAGCATTATTCATAGTAACAAGTTAGAAGCAACCCAATTGTTCATCAACAGGTGAATGAATAAACAAAATGTTATATATATATATATATATATATATATATATATGCATGCAATGGAGTATTATTCAGCCATTTAAAAATGACATGCTGACACATGCTACAACATGAATAAATCTTGAAAATATTATGCTAAGTGAAATAAGCCAGTCACAAAAGACCACATTTTAAATGACTTCACTTACATAAAATGTCCTGAGTAGTCAAATCCATAGAGACGGAAAGTAGATTAGTGGTCGCCAGGGAATGGGTGGAAGAAGAGAACTGAGAGTGACTGCTATAGGGTATGGGGTTTCTTTGAAGTGATGTAAATGTTCTGGAGTTAGTGGTTAAGCTTGCACAACTCTGTGAATATACTACAGATCGCTCAATTGTACACTTCAAAAAAAGGTGAATTTTCAGGCATGTGAATTATAGCTTGATAGAGCTGTTATAGGGAAAAAAAAGAGGAATCCAGAAGACATGATGACAGCAGTGTCATATGCTGCGAATAAGCCCATTTGATAAGAAATGAGCAACGTTTGTTGGATATAGCAACAGTGAGGTTTTTGATAAACTTGGCTGAAGATAGTGGGGAGGTGGGGCAAAACAAGTTTGATTCATTCACCAAATATTTATGAATTACATATTGCATAATGGCATGTACCATTGGGATGAGATATGAATGAAGGGAAGAAAGCCAGATGATAACGGGTTGATCTGAAAATAGGAGATGAGAAATGAGAGACTAGGAGTATGCACAATTCTTACAGAAGTTAGGTTCCAAAGGGCTGAAAACAAAAACGTTAGTAACTGGAAGAGGACACATACTCAGCTTGTTTTGTGGTTTGTTATCTGGGAGAAACTTCAGTATTTTAACATGGGTGAACATATCCTCTGTGTAGTGCTGATAGAAAGGATTCATGGGAGAAACAGGGATGGGGTTGATGACACACAATGGCATGGGGATAGCTCAAAGGGACAAGTTCTGGAGAAGTTCACCAGAGCACAGATAGAGGGACTGTCCTTAGACAGCAAGGGACACAGCCATATATTGGGTTGGGAGGAAGAGAGGAGAGGAAAATGGATGGGAATGAAGCTTAACTTGAAGACTTGTGGGAGAAAACTGAATAAATTTCCTGTCCTGGATTCTATTACTAATAAAGGGAGGTTTTACCTGTGGAGAGCCAAGAATTGGTAGAGTTTCCAGACCCGCTTGGGGTCAGTGAAATAGTGGCCATGGAGGAAGCTTGAGAGGAGAGTGTAGGAGAAACATGAATGATTCCTCTGTGTTGAACAGACAAATCCATAGAGTGTTGAGAGCTCAAGTAAGGTTTGTTGTAGCCCCAATTCACAAGGTTGGACATTTTTTTAAATTCTCCCAGTTTTCAGCAGCAGTGTTCAGACTGTACCATTAATAAAGCAAATCAGTGAATGTTGCATAGTAGAGGAAGTAAAAATACTCTATTGATAAAAGAATTCTTTAAAGTGGGCACCCAGGATCTAAGCTGTGGGAAGAAAGGGAAGTCTGGGCATGACTGGTAGGGAGAAATTAGAGGTGTCAAATGATTGAAGGTATTTTTTCTCTTCTCTCTAATCTGTTTTGGATATCCCTTCCTCCTTTCCATCATCTTTCTTCTTCTATTTCTTCTCCTTTTTTAAGAAGCTGCTCATTTAAGATTCCTTTTCTGCCTAGTTGGTGTGTTCTTGATCATGAGCTCATCAGTTCTTGGAGAACTGTTGACTGCAGGTGCCTGTGTGAATGTTAGGCAGGTTTAGGATGCTAGTTACCTCTTGATTCAGCTTTCACAGAGGGGTTTTATTTGAATTTCACAGCAATCCTGTCCTCTAAGTGAAGTGAAGAAACACAATGTACTTCAATGAGCTAGGGGTTATTTGAATAATGTTCCAAGAGGTTTAGGACAACTCTATGAAGTCCACTACAGGGTTGAAATTCAGTTTGATTTGTTTCACTTTTCTCAATTATATGCTGACAGATCATTTAATTTATATATGGAAATGCATGCATTTCATTCTGTGAGGGGAGTCCTATTTATTTGGAGGGATGCTATAAATAATAGAAGACCCTTTAAAAGTAATAATCCACCACACATTTTAAATATAATTATTACTCCATCAATGTAATCCTTCCTTGGTTTTATAGATGATCTTTTCAACATATTTATTCTTTGCCCTCCTCCCCTCCCTAAACATTTTCTTTAAATTAGGAACCAAATATGAGCCAAGCACCATCTTAACCATTTTATGAGAAAGAGTCACTATTTACAAGGGACTTGAAATCCATTTGGGAATATACCACATATTTGTATATATGTATGTTGGAGTACATAACATATGTTATGTTGGAAAGAGTTCATTATTTATATTAACTTTTTAATTAAATTTCATGTGATTACACAGTTTTCCTAGAACATTTATTTGAACACCTGTTCACCCTAGTAATTTTGAAATCAACTTTTCCTTAACATCATTACATTCATGCAATATTTAAATTAGAAATTTATCCAAATCTCTGAAAATTTGATGGCAGGAATTGCGTCATTTAGGTATGACAAACTTAGTGTTAATACCTAACTAATTCTTGCTGATTTTAACTGAAATGTTGAATCAAAACAAATACTAAATCTCAGCATGAATGCCCATCTGCATCAGCTTCTAATAGCTATTAAATTCCGATGTCCAGACACACACACAAAAAAATAATCTTTACTACTTAACAGTTTTGTGACTTCAGTCAAGTCATGCGGCCTCTGGACATTGATTTTCTCAGTTGTTAAATGGGGATAATACTTTCTGCTCTATTTACCTTACAGGGGTGCTCTGTTTTATAGGTAAAAGCAGAAAGCACTCAAAGACCATGTTGAACACACAAACACGTGGTGTGTGTTCACACAGAAACACATTCTTTTGAAAGGACATTATATCAAAGAATCATAATATCTTCTCCCATGATATGGGTGAATCTGAAAAAAACCAGGATTATCCATTCTGTCATAAATGGCAGGGTTTCTTTTTAAAAGGCTGAATGATATTCTGTTGTGTATACATACCACATTTTCTTTATCTATTCATTCATACATGGATATTTTGGTTGATTTGATATCTTGCCAATTGCAAATAATGATGTAATGAACATAGGACTGCTGCTACCTCAACATATTGATTTTATTTCTTCTAGATATATACCCAGGAGTAGGACTGCTGGATTGTATGGGAGTTTTAGTTTTAATGTTTTGAGGAACCTACATACTGTTTTCCATAATAGTTATACCAATTTACCTTCCCACCAACAATGTGCAGAGGACCTCTCTTCTAGATATTGTCACCAACACTTAGGTTTTTTTTTTTTTTTTTTAAAATAATAGCATTCTAACAGGTATAAAGTAATATCTCACTGCAGTTTCAATTTGCATTTCTCTGATGATTAGTGATGTGTGGAATTTTTTTATATTCCTGTTGACCATTTGTATGTCCTCTTTGGTAAGTGTCTAATCAGGTCCTGGCCCATTTTTAAATTGGGCTATTTATTTTCTTCCTATTGAGTTGTTTGGGTTCCTCATGCATTTTGGATATTAACACCTTACATGATGTACATTTTGCAAATACTTTCTCTCATTCCATAAGCTGTATTTTCACTCTATTGATTATTTCCTTTGCTATGCACAAACTTCTTAGTTTTGTGCAATACCCTTTGTCTATTTTTGCTTTTGTTGCCTGTGTTTTGGGATGTTATCATTGCCCAGGCTAATATGAAAACATTTTTCCTATGTTTTTCTGCAGTGATTTTTACAGTTTCAAATCTTATGTTTAAGTCTAATCCCTTTTAGTTAATTTTTGTACATGATGTGAGATAAAAGTCTAATTTCTTTCAACATGTGGATATCCAGTTTTCCCATTGCTATTTAATGGAGAGACTATAATTTCATTGTTATGTGTTTTTTAATCTAAAAACATCAAACTCAGAGAAGCAGAGAGTAGAATGGTAGTTGCCACGAGGTGGGTGGGGGTGGGGAAAATGGGAAGATGTTGATCAAAGAGTACAAATTTCCAGTTACTCAGGATGAATATGTTCTAGAGCTCTAATGTACAGTATGGTGACTATAGTTAAAATACTGTATTGTATACTTGAAATTTGCTGAGAGTATATCTTAAATGTTCTCAACACACACACAAGGTAACTATGTGAGTTGATGGATATTATAATTAGTTTGATGATTTTATTAGTCCATTCTCATGCTGTTAATAAAGACATACCTAAGACTGGGTAATTTATAAAGAAAAGAGGTTTAATTGACTCATAGTTCAGCATGGCTGGGAGGCCTCAGGAAATGTACAATCATAGCAGAAGGGGAAGCAGACATGTCCTTCTTCACATGGCAGCAGGAAAGAGAAGTGCAGAGTGAAGAGTGAAGTGCAGAGTGAAGTGCAGCAGCAAGGAGAAGTGCCGAGCAAAAAGGGGAAAAGTCCCTTATGAAACGATTAGATCTCATGAGAACTCACTATTATGAGAATAGCATGAGGCTAACTTCCTCTATGATTAAATTACCTCCTCCCCATCGGGTCCTATCCGTGACATGTGGGGGATTATGGGAACTACAATTCAAGATGAGATTTGGGTGGGGACACAGCCAAATCATATGAATGATGTTAATCATTTCACAGTATATGAGTATATCAAAACGAAATCGAACACCTAAAATACATATTACTTGTATTTGTCTATGATATTCCAATAAAGTTGGAGAAGAAACAGTACACCATGAGGTGCTGATCACGCTGGCTATCATTAATTGCTAATTTAAGAAATAAACAAATGTTCTTGAATGTTGTTATTAAGAGACCACCTTTAAATTTTCATTATATCAACATTTAAATCAGGGTTTCTCAACTCCATACTACTGAAATTTGGGGTCAGATTATTCTTTGCTGAGGAGTGAAAAGAGACTGCCCTGTGCATTGCAGGAAGTTGAGCAGCATCCCTGGCCTCTACCTCCTAGGTGCCAGTAGCACTCCCCTTCCCTACAATGTAAAAACATGCCTCTAGACATTGCCAAATATCCCTAGGGGGTGTTTGTGTAAAACTGCCCCCAGTTGAGAACCCCTGCTTTAAATAATATGAACCAAGGCTTTCATGAAGTATTTTGCAAAACCCACTGAAACACATTATATATTAAATTCCTATAATACTAAGCCTTTGAGAAAGTGGATGATTTGCCTGAGGTCACACAGAAGGGAATTCAGGGAAACCAGGATTGAAGTTCAGTCTTCTAGTGTCTCATCCATGCTAATACTCCTCCTCATCCTGCCTCCTGCCTCCATGTACTATGTAATCTCAGGCAGGGAATATACACACACACACACACACACACACACACACACACACATATACATACATACATACATATACATACACACACACATATATACACATATATACATATATATATATATAGAGAGAGAGAAAGTGAGAGAAAGAGAGAATGAGTGAGAGTGAGAGAGAGAGTAGTGAGTTTACCACACCACTCATAAGGCAATTCCGGAGATGAATAAGTCTAAATACGTTGACATGGCAATATATTGCATGACTTGTATGGATTGACAAGTAATTTCTTTAATGTATATTCTAATTTAGAGTTATAACACACATATGTTTTACTCTCACAATAAACTTGTAATCTCCAAAAAACAAGTGTCAATATTTCCAGTTTAAAGACAAGCAAAGCAAGGCTCATTTGAGTAAGCTGCCTGAGGATGCACAGCTATGTAATGGTA